TAAACCAAAAATGGTTCTTATTCATTGCGAATTCCAAAAGTATTAAAATAAAATCCTTCTGTAAAATTGGTATATCACTAAAACCATCTAAGAAAAACCTCACTGCTTCCATACCATCCGAGTGGTTTATATTAGAATACAGAGAGGCTACATCGGCAGTAACCAAGAATGTATCCGAATTAGTAGATATGTCTTTAATATCATGGAGAACCTGCTTTGTGTCTTTAAGATATGCCGGTGTTTTCATCACAAGTGGCTGTAGGAAATGATCAATATATTTACCTATTCTGGCCGTTAGAGATCCTATGCCACACTTATTATCGGCCTCCCTGGTGGCTTAAGTGGATCCTTATGTACCTTAGGTAATATGTATAAAATAGGGAGTCTAGGTGATACTGGGCATAAAAATGCTTTTTCTTTTTTACTTATGATGTTCTCCTCATATCCCCTTTGTATTATAGACTTAAGTTCTTTCTTATATTGAGCTACTGGATTTTTAGGTAACGGTAAATATGTATCTCTATCACTAAGGATATTTTGGACTTCTTTAATATAATCAATTTTATTGAGGACTACAACTCCTCCCCCTTTGTCCGCAGGGCGGATCACGAGGTCTTTCTTCTCTAATAATGAATCAATAGCTCTACGATTAGCGTCATGTTTGTTGATTTTCTTTGTTTTTAAAGTCTCCAAATCACGTAACACTGTATCCCTAAAAGCATTAATATAGGTATTATTTTGTGGTGGAGGGTTAAACAGTGACGGATTATGAAGGTTAGAGTTAATGAATCTCCATTCGTTTGAGGGTAATGGAGGTTTATTGAAAAAATATTTTTTTAGTGATAGTTGTCTTACATATTTTCTAATATCGACATAAGTTTGAAACTTATTGAGCGGTTTATTAGGCGCAAATTTTAATCCTTTATTTAATAATTTAATCTCTTGGGTAGTCAGAGTTTTATTACGGCGTCCTATGGCAAAATGGCGCCGATCTACTGCGCATGCGCGAGACGCCGGCAAAATGGCCGCCGCGACTAGCGCGATTGCCATTTCTGTGTATAAATAGATGGGGAAGGATGTCCTGCTGTAAGCCCTGATCCTCTGAGGACGTGCATCGCACGAAACGCGTCAAGGGGGGCTACAGCTTATGGACATCTAGCCACTATATGTGGCCAACATTGTATGGTCAGTAACTTTTTGTTGTTTCACCCTTTTTTGGCTAATAAACCCTAGTCAAACAGCATCACACTATGTGGCGTCCTTTATTGGGCTCTCTTTGAGAGCACCACCTCCCACAGTGCCTATCTTGGCTAAGGAGAGTACCTTTGACGCCTACACGGTTTGATGAATCCCGGTTACTGTTCTTCACGGTGAAACAGAGGATAGTACGGAGTGCGGTCTGACCAGAGCCTTGATGCTGGAGCGTTCATGCAGATTATACTTCTCTACATGCGTTATTTAAACGCACCTCTGGTGAGTGCGCACTCTATCTGTTCCTAGGATTTTTCACCTCTCTTATCACCACTGATCTGGGATGAGGACTTTACGTGTGCTTTAACACTTCTCACGGATTAGCGCACTGTTTATCATTGTATCACATCTTTTTTGACCATTGGCATTTAGATGCATATATATTTTATAGAGAATTTTTACTGTATTCTGATTTTAGCGCTGCACCTAATTTCTCCTTTTATTTGATCATTGTAAGGTTGGTTGGTTGCCTTTTTTGGTGTTCTAGCTGCTTATACATTTCTGTTTTGTAGCGCTCGCTATACCATTTCCAAATGGACTGTATTGTGTTTCTGCAAAAAGCACTAAAAAACGTGTATATGGAGCCTTATATGGACTTGACTAAGGCTCCGTTCACACCTATGCTTTTTGTCTGTTTTGCAGTGCTTTTCGGAGTTCAATTTGCATTTTTTTACATGTGTTTTTACCTCGTTTTGTTCAGCTCTTCTTTTCTTTTTTTTTTTTGTTAAAGTGGAATTTTTTTTGTCGCTGGACAAAATAAAAATGCAAAATACAAAACGCGTCAAAAACACGCCAAAAACGCACTGCCATGCATTTCAGCAGCTTCTCAGTTGAACTCCATTGTAGAAAAAACGCTGCTTTTTGCTTTTAAGAAAAGTCCCTGACCCTTTCCAAAAATGCAGAAGCTCAAAAAAGCATAGATGTGAACATGTCCCATTGGAAACCATGTTAAATGGACTGTAGTGTGTTTCTGCAAAAAGCACTAAAAAATGCATTGGTGTGAATGCAGCCTTAGATGGACTTGACTAACATGTCATTTTGCCCAAGATAATGATAGACCAGTAAAATTATTGCGGTATTAAACCAAAAACCAAAAATGTAATATGTTGCAGCTTGCCAATCATTAGATGTGGTAGCTGCATTAGTTTTCTTTCTTTTTCCCTTTGCTTTAACCTGGTGATCTGGCCAGTAATGCACCTCCTATATTAGAGCGCCCCCACTCTAAATGGAGGAGCACAGGGGGCACCTTTGGACAGCAACATCAGTCTGGGAAGGGGGGGGGGAGAGTATTAAATGTATTAGCAGATTTTAAATACATTAACAAATTTAGGCCAAACTCCAGATCATGCTTTATAATGAGTTACAGCAAACATTTTTTCCTTTTGAGATTAAAGTTTTACATTAATAAATAAAAGCTGATCATTGTAAGCCCCCCAGTCAGTGGTTTGTCTCATCCTGTAAACTGATACATCTGGAAGAGGTCTTGTTCTTTTGAAAAACCACAGACTTACTGGCTGGGTCATCAGATGAAAATAAAGGAAACAAAGCCTAAAAAAGAAAACGAATGCAGTCATCAAATCTAAGAATTGGTAAGCTGCAATATAATGAATGTTTGCTTTTGGGTTTATTACTGCTTTAAAGGTACCAATTCTAAAAGCAGTTTTTAATTGTCATTATAAAGAGTCCATATTCCATTCTCCCAAATTAGTCATTGGCCAACTGGACATTTGTAAACTTCCCATGAGCATGACCCTCCTGACTCTTGTCTTGATTCGTATTTTAACTCTATTGTATTGTACAGCACTGTTAATGCCATTGGAGCTATATAAATCCTGTATTAAAAAAATTATTATAATATTTATTATTAACCACTTCCTGACCACCCTATAGCAGATATACTGCTACAGGGCGGCACGGGTGCGCAAAATCACATATATATATACATGACTTTGCATTTCCGGGTAGGTGGTGTGCGCCCTACCCGCGCCGCCATTCGCGGCTGTGGCTGTCAATCACCAGGTCCCGGACAGTGATTTCTCGCCGGTGCCTGGTGATTGCTGAGGATCTCCGACAGGGAGGAGATCTGTATGTAAACAATACAGTTCTCCTCCCTGTCAGCTCCTGCACACTGCTTTGGATGGCTGTGCACAGCACAGTCCTCCAAAGCAGTGTGATTACAGTGAAGTACACACACAGAGAGCTTACAGTGCAACAGCACACGGTTAACTCTTTGATTGCCCCAGATGTTAACCGCTGCCTGCCCAGTGCCATTAGTACAGTGTCAGTGCTTTTTTTTTTTTTAGCACTGATCACTGTATTGGTGTCATTGGGGATGTAAGTGACACCTAGTCAGTTCCCTCCAGTGTCAGAATGCCCACCGCAGTCCCGCTATAAGTCGCTGATCGCCGCCATTACTAGTAAAAATTAAAAAAAATAATTCCAGTATCTTTACCGCCATTTGTAAACTCTATAACGTTCATGTAAACTAATTAATTTACACGTATTGCGATTTTGTTTACCAAAGACATGTCGCAGAATACATTTTGGCCTAAATTTATGACGAAATTTGATTTTTAAATTTTTTTTACTGGACATGTTTAATAGCAAAAATTCAAAAATATTGTTTTTTTTTCTCAAAATTGTCGGCCTTTTTTTTTATAGCACAAAAAATAAAAACTGCACAAGCGATCAAATACCACCGAAAGAAAGCTCAATTCGTGGGAAAAAGGGACATAAATTTAATTTGGGTGCAGCGTTGCATTACCACGCAATTGTCATTTAAAGTAACTCAGCACCGTAACGCAAAAAATGTCCTGGTCAGGAAGGGGGTAAATCCTCTGGAGGGCAAGTGGTTAATAATAATAATAATAATAATAATAATAATATCATTATACATACTCAGCAATCAGCAATTGCTGGGGGTGGGGGGAGCATTAAGTCACAAAATGGTTCACAGACATTGTGCTAAAACTAAGCGGACACTCTTAAATGTTATAACGCAGCGAATGATCTATGTCATTAATTTCCATTCTCACTGGGGACCCCCAACTCAAACCCCCATAAGAACATATGCCTGAAGATATACTTACTTGACATACAGGAAGAAGAGAAGAGGGGTTGTGAGATGGAACTGAAAATCATTTGAGAGGTACCAGGCCCAGCCGGTGCACTGAAATAAATGGCAGTGAGACGCAGCAATTATTTTCTATAAAGTGTTACTACGCCGTGCAAAATAAAAGTTTTGGATTGTATCGCTCTCTGATGTACAATTCATGTTGGCGTGTTGTATTGATTGGCCCCAGCTGGACATATAGAAGGTCAGCACTGCCGCTGTCACATACAGGGATATTATTGATTGGGTTAATATCTGCTCCTTTGTTTCAAAAAAGTATTAATGTAATAGACATTCATTCAAACCCATGCATGGAAGTTCTTTATTGTGCAATTAAATGATTGAGAGAAGGCAGGAATAAAATAAAAGGCAAAGAAATAAGAAAGGAGGGAAGGAGGGAAGGGAAGAAAGGAGAGGGAGGGAGAGAAGAAAAAACAATGTTAATCAATTTTATTATAATCCTTCATTCAGTTTACACGTTTTTAAGTGGACTCTAATTTTAACTTTTCATTTTATTTAGAGTGAGAGGGAAATGTTTTAAATCAGTTTTATGTATTTATAATTCTTCATTTAGTTTACAAGCTCTTAGGCTACCACAATTTTTTTTTTTTAATGTTTCATTTAAAGTGTTCCTAAACCCAGGACCCTGCATTCACTATATCTGGTCTCCCCGGACCCTGCATTCACTATATCTGGTCTCCCTGGACCCTGCATTCACTACATCTGGTCTCCCTGGACCCTGCATTCACTATATCTGGTCTCCCCGAACCCTGCATTCACTATATCTGCTCTCCCTGGACCCTGCATTCACTATATCTGGTCTCCCCGGACCCTGCATTCACTACATCCGGTCTCCCTGGACCCTGCATTCACTACATCCGGTCTCCCTGGACCCTGCATTCACTATATCTGCTCTCCCCCGAACCCTGCATTCACTATATCTGCTCTCCCTGGACCCTGCATTCACTACATCCGGTCTCCCTGGACCCTGCATTCACTACATCCGGTCTCCCAGGACCCTGCATTCACTATATCCGGTCTCCCTGGACCCTGCATTCACTACATCCGGTCTCCCAGGACCCTGCATTCACTACATCCGGTCTCCCAGGACCCTGCATTCACTACATCCGGTCTCCCAGGACCCTGCATTCACTACATCCGGTCTCCCCGGACCCTGCATTCACTACATCCGGTCTCCCCGGACCCTGCATTCACTACATCCGGTCTCCCAGGACCCTGCATTCACTATATCCGGTCTCCCCGACCCTGCATTCACTATATCTGGTCTCCCCGGACCCTGCATTCACTATATCTGGTCTCCCCGGACCCTGCATTCACTATATCTGGTCTCCCCGGACCCTGCATTCACTATATCTGCTCTCCCCGGACCCTGCATTCACTATATCTGGTCTCCCCGGACCCTGCATTCACTATATCTGGTCTCCCCGGACCCTGCATTCACTATATCTGCTCTCCCCGCACCCTGCATTCACTATATCTGGTCTCCCACAGCACACACAACATGGAAATGCAATTATTTTAGTAAATATACACTCCAAAATACCTTTTCTCATCAGCAGTATAAAGCATTCTTGTGACTTATTATTTATTTCAGGTACTTATATAGCGCCTTCAACTTACGCAGCACTTTACATATATATTGTACATTCACATCAGTCCCTAACCCTCAAGGGGCGTACAATCTAAGGTCCCTAACTCACATTCATACATACACATACTAGGGCCAATTTAGACAGGATCCAATTAACCTACCAGCATGTCTTTGGAGTGTGGGAGGAAACCGGAGTACCCAGAGGAAACCCATGCACGCACAGGGAGAACATGCAACTCCAAGCAGGTGGTGTCATGGTTGGGATTCGAACCAATGACCCTAGTACTGCCAGGCGGAAGTGCTAACCATTTAGCCACAGTGACTTCTTACAGTGTCCAGCTGGGTACTGGTTATTTTTTTTAGGAGGATTTTTCATTCTGCTCTGACTGTCCTATGAGGCTGCATAACCCCTGACCCTCTGTCTGGACAGTGCTGATTGGCCCTGTGCTGATCACATGCACCCTCTCTAGCAATGCACACTAAACTGAGCATGTGCAGAGTGACTCCTAGAATTCTGTACTATCAGCAGATGGATTGGGGACAGTAAAAGAAGGGGAGGATCTGAGAAGACAGGATCAAACACCCTTTTTACACAATGCAGAGGATTAACCCCTTAGGTTCCACAGTGAGTATAACAAGCATGCTTTACTGCATATACAGACTGATTTTACTGTTGTGGGTTTAGTACACTTTAACTTAATTTTTTATATTTGTATAAAGTCTTTATTGTACATATAAACATTTAAAGTGGTATTAACCCCAAAGCCTAGACTGTAATCATTAGCCGTGGTGGCTGCATTTGTTTTCTTTATATAAGTTTTTTTCCGCTCTGTTGTCACCTGGTGATCTGGCCAGTAACGCACCTCCTGTATTAGAATACCCCCATTCTGGATAAAGGTGCACAGGGGGCATTGTTGGACAGCAGCATTGTCAATCTATGGAGAGGGGAGTGCTGGATATACTAGCAGATTTAGATACACTAACAAATTGAAGCTAAACTCCAGCTTACACCACAGTAACAGCAACTTTTTTTTTCTTTTTGGTTAAAGGTTTTCAATGAATAGATAAAAGCTGACCATTGTAAGCACCATTGTCAGTGGTAAATGGTTTGTCTCAACAATCTTAATGGATACATTTTCAGGACAGCTTGTTCTGTTGAAAAACAATAGATTCACTGGCTAGGTCACCAGATGAAAATATTGGAAAGAAATCCTAAAAAGAAAATGAATGCAGCCATCACATCTAAGAATTGGTAAGCCGCAATATAATTAATGTTTGTTTTGGGGTTTAATACTGCTTTAATACAGGGGCGCTTCTTAAAGTACTGTATGTCTAAGATTCATTGTGACATGTTTTCCATTATTTTTCTTACCATCTGTGTCTCATTCGAGAGAAATCCCATCACTTCCTATCCTGTAGATCAGGGGTCCCCAACCCTCATGCCGTGGACTGGTGCCGGTTAGACATGTGCGGTTTGTTTCGTTACGAATCGCATTTTAGATGAATTTTTTAGTTACTCAGAGATTCGGATGTATCCAAACAACGAATTGCAAAAATAATTAATTTAAACGAATCGAAATAACAAAATGAAATTCGGCCGAAATTTGGTTTGAAAACAAATGCGAAAATGGACGAAAAAACGGATGTAAACAGATGTAAATGGATGAAAGCAGATGAAAAACAAATGTAAAACGGGAATACGGTTCGTTTTTGCATTGGAAAGGATGTAAACTGATGAAAAACTGATATGAACTGATCCGATTTTTTTTTGGGGAAAAAAGTGAATGAACTGATGATTAAAACGGAACGCCCGTGTGAAAGAACCCTATGGCTTCCTCTACTCCACAAACGTGGCGCAGATTCTCCCTCACTTCCTGTGGGGTGAAAACATTGTCACCAGACATATGCTTCATCAAGTGAGATCATGTTCATATATAGTTGGGTTGGTGCAACGCTCTCAACAAAGACAGATACTAAACTCAAATATAGTATTCAGCATATAGCACTATCCTTTTACAAACGAAGTTCCCACCAAGTTACTAACACAATCCTTCCCCTGAAGTACAAATAACATCAAAACAATATATAGTAAACTTGGTTACCCTCTAATCAGTAATTAGTGTATAAACATAAAGTCCAAAGCCCCAAAAAAATCTATAAAAATATAAAAAAATAATAAACAAAAAACCAAAATCATCCCAAAAGCAAAAAACAAAAGGTCCAAAATAAAGTCCCAAATGATGATTGCAAAAAAAAAATCTTTATCTGTGATATCTTAATTCTTCATATCCCGAAATCCTTGTGATATACTTCAAACCAAATCTTCATATACCTCAAAGAAAAAAACTCAACATGTGTGATATCTTCAAAGAGAAAGGGGTATATAAAAACCGTGCCACACGTGTTTCATGCACATAAAAAATATATTAACGTGCCACCACAACCGTGAAAGAGGAAGTCCCTCAGCCTTAGGAGTCAATCCACTGCATACCACTAGAGGAAGTGTATAGTTACCCTCAGAATGGTATCAAGGGTCTGAGTACTTCTTTCCAACCTTTGAATATTCCTTCAGCCTTTCAGCCGCTTCCCACAGACCTCATAAACAGACCAGGGATCAGTATGTATCATAAAATTTATAGCACTTTATTGTAGTAACTTACATTTAAATAAGGTAACATCAGCTTCCACATCACAAACGATATGTTCACAATCCTGCCTCTCCTCATAAGTGTATAGATTCCACACTCTCTCACTCCCAAGAGGGAACCGATTGCCTGTGGTAAGACCCCAGTACCTCAAGGTCCCATGAGGATTCCAGGACGCCACAGCCGCATGTACCAGGATCAGAAATGGCCGCCGCCGCACTTCCAGAAGAGCGTCACTACGTCACCACGTCACGTGCCCCGTATAAACTCATATATACCTAATTTGAAAAATCCACTTTAACTTGCTACAGGTGGCTGCCAGTTATTAGGGCCAGTTAACACTACATGGGTTTCAGTTGCATTTTTTTCTGCATCCAAACCGCACAAAAAGTAGGTTATACGGTTGTCAATGTCATAGTTCTTGCAGTCCCAATGTGTTCCAGTTGTAGAAAAAAAAGTAGAACAGGCTGCATTTTTCCTGCACAGAACTGTACTGGAACGTGGTAAAACGCATCAAAAAAGCACCAGAATGCACTAAAATGCGGCGAAATGCACCAAAAATGCACCTGTCCCTATTTAAATTGAAGAAAGAGTGAGGGGAAAAATGAACTGGAATGCATAAAAAAAAAACACACTGGAACGCATCAAAAACACATCAACAATGCCCTGGAGCACACCAAAAAAGCATCAAAAACGCATCTGGACTGCGTTTCTATAGATAGAACTGGCCCCTAGTCTGTGTTAGGAGTAAGGCGCATAGAACATGGTTAATAATAGTCCTATAGTAGATATAAATATAATGAGTCCATCCAGTGTGGGCAAGCTGAGATGAAAGCAGAAGTTGGTTCCAAACATTCAACCAAGAAGAGAGAAGCACGGTGCCTCCAAGTGTAGACTTAATCAAAGATTTAATAGTAAAACAGGTTAGGCAACTCACACATAAACCTGTATCAGGCGAGTCATAGACCAAGGGTGACAGAACCGCCAAGATAAACGCTGGGGCGCCTCAGCTGTCAGTAACCGGTGTGGACCGAGGAAGCTGGCCGGCACCTCTATCTCGGGATGCTGGCCGGCACCTCTATCTCGGGATGCTGGCCGGCACCATTATCTGGGAAGCTGCCCGGCACCTCTATCTCAGGATGTTGGCCGGCACCATTATCTGGGAAGCTGGCCGACACCTCTATCTCAGGATGTTGGCCGGCACCATTATCTGGGAAGCTGGCGACACCTTTATCTCGGGAAGCTGGCCGGCACCTCTATTTTGGGAAGCTGGCTGGCACCTCTATCTCGGGAAGCTGGCTGGCACCTCTATTTTGGGAAGCTGGCTGGCACCTCTATCTTGGGATGCTGGCCAGCACCATTATCTGGGAAGCTGGCCGGCACCTCTATCTCGGGAAGCTGGCCGGCACCTCTATCTTGGGAAGAGCATAGGTGGAATTATTTATTTTTATTATTTATTTCAGGTACTTATATAGCGCTGTCAATTTACGCAGCGCTTTACATACATATATATATTGTACATTTGCATCAGTCCCTAACCCTCAAGAGGCATACAATCTAAGGTCCTTAACTCACATTCATACATACACATACTAGGGACAATTTAGACAGGAGCAAATTAACCTACCAGCACGTCTTTGGAGTGTGGGAGGAAACTGGAGTACCCGGAGGAAACCCACGCAGTCACAGGGAGAACATGCAAACTCCAGGCAGGTGGTGCCAGGGTTGGGATTCAAACCAGCGACACTAGTACTGCCAGGCTGATGTGCTAACCATTTAGCCACTGTGCTGCCCCACCGGAATGCACCATGGAGCGCAAGTGTTCAGCTTCATGTCGTCACCAGGGGGTTGCAACACGTTTTTGAGAATGCACGAAACAAACATGCGCACTCCTTTCTCAAGCTCCACACTCAAGCTTGAGAAAAAAGTGCGCATGTCCGTTTTGGACTTAGTGTATGCCCAGAAACGCGTCTCAATCCCCTGGCGGCGGCACGACAATGAATGCTTGCACTTCAAGGTGCGCTCTAACAGATTCATTGGTCCACACCGGTTACTGACACCTAAAGCGCCTCTGCATTTATCTGGAGATCTTTGGCGGTTCTGTCACCCTTGGTCTATGACTAGCCTGATACAGGTTTTTATTGATGGGAACCTCCTGCGCTCCTGACTAAACCAATAAATAAATATATAAATCTAAATGGAATATTACAGCTGCCAACATCCAATCATATACCTAATGATCTATAGACAA